TGCGCGCGGAAAACGAGAACCAATCTCCCCTATCACCCCTAAACGAACGATGCCTTAGAAGTTTTTACAGTTCTATTCTTTGCTATCCAGCTGAGTGACGAAAAACAAAACTAAATTAGGTTGTACTCGTACGATTCGGCTGCAAGAAAGAAGCGTGCATGCATAGGTGCATGGTACACTTGACAAGAGAATATCTGACAGCACTACTGTATAGTAGCATGAAACACAGGTTGCAGGGTGGAGTGTGATTGGTACGTGTGGCTGCAGGTTATTCTTGCTGGATGGCTGATGTGGCATCCACAGTAGTACAGTACAAATTAATAAGGAATTCAATAACGTACTCCCCTCTGTCCCATGAAAAGTACATTTTTTTTCAGTTTTTGATACTCTTTGTTTTTATTTAATTATTTATGATTAATATTTTTATTGTTATTACTCCCTTCATCCCAAAATAAGTGCAGTTTTAGCACTGTTCATGTCCAACGTTTGACCGTTCGTCTTATTTGAAAAAAGATTATGATTAGTATTTTTATTGTTATTAGATGATAAAACATGAATTGTACTTTATGTGTGACTAATTTTTTTAATATTTTTCATAAATTTTTCAAATAAGACGGATGGTCAAAACGCTGAGCATGCATATGGCTGCACTTATTTTGGAACGGAGGTAGTAGATGATAAAACATAAATAATACTTTATGTATAATTTATTTTTAAAATTTTTTTATAAGATGGATGGTCAAATGTTGAACATATAAACTCAAAAATATGTTTTTTTATGGGGGAGGGAGGGAATATATGCAAAGGAACACACACTGTACTATTAATTTCAGTAAGAATTTGTGTACAGTAGTACTCCTATATGCAAAGGAACGTGTCACGCGTGTGTATAGTACTAGTAGTACGTAGAACCACTGAGTAACGGTGATTGTAGCAGTACAGTACGTACAGTAGATGGACAGTACATGGGTGACGTTTGTGGGCAGACTGATCGACAATCGACAAAATAAAGCAGGCGGCGCGGCGGCTAGCGGCACCAAGGAATCGCCCACAGTTCCAGTTGGCCTGCCTTCTCTCTTGATCCTTCCTGCAGCTGGCTGCCCTCCCTATACTATGCCCAAGTCGCGACAAACTATGATTAGCTGTTCCAATGCTTGAGAAACTTTGAGAGGCTATAACATAATGGATCCACATATGAGTAACTCGTAAAAAGATAATGTTGTGTTAGTTAATAGACTCTCTTTACAATGCTCGCTACTCGATCATTATTACTACCAATACTGAAGGATATATATATATATATATATATATATATATATATATATATATATATAATAACTTATAACGAAGGACGTAAAATGAGTCTATCTTCTATGATATTATACTAGTACATGTGTGTGCATTATGCACATGTAAGTATATGTTGGCTAGTTGTGCAAAACATCTTAGTGACGGATATGTAAACACGCTAATTAAGAAAGTAGTCAACTACTATCATGGAGAAGATTTGCATTTGATAAGTGGGAAGCTGATCGAAGAAGGATCTTGGCATGAAAAGACGAAGCTATCCTAACATAGGATGGAACAAATTAACTGAATGTTGTAATGCAAATGGTTATTTGGGATAGTAATGGCCGGTCATATGAGCTGCCTATAGATCACTAGAGGTCTGTTCATATGCTCTAGAAGCTGAACTTATGGCCACAAATGAGGATGGAAGTGTGTCTTCAATGGTCAATCTTTCCGGGTGATACTAGAACTGTCTAGCTATATGCAATAATTCACGTGATGATAAATGACAAAATGGACAAAAGATGAAGCTGTCCTAACCAAGGATGCACCAAAATGAATGCTGATGGATATAATGCAAGTGGTTCAATTGGAACCAGCTTTAAAGAAAACCAAAATTTTAAGATTAGAAAGCCCTACTGGGCATATGTTGGTTATGCTCTAAGGTTCATGAATGATGAAATCCTTTTCCCCAAAAAAAAGAACAAACAACCCTATCGTTTCACTTATGCTAATGCCTATATGCCAAAATTTAATTTCAAAACTTACTTTTTTAGTTTTTTTCATCATAATTTATTCTACCGCATTTGCTTTTAAATCGCTAAGGATACACACACATAAAAGTTTTACTCGTGACTTTTTTTTTGGTTGTTAACAAGTAGTACTAATGGATAAGTATAAGTACAAGGAAAACGATGGGGCTGAAAGTCTGTTTCGAGGAGTATTGTGGTAAACGTACTCTGTTGGTGGAGAAGAGGATAATTAGTAATTAACTGAGAGTTTAGTTGAGTGGAGAGATTAAGAGCATGCAGAGGTTGAATATATACATGGAGAGAAGCGCATTGGATTGAAATCCAACGAACGCGATCAGATGATTGAGATTTGCCTAAGAAATAGCCAAGCCGTTGTGTCTAAGTGGAGTGTTTCTAGGTACTTGTTGTTTTTCTTTTTTTTTTTAGAGAAAATGTCGTTGTTATACTAGTAGGTCGATAGGCGACAGCAAGCGGCCTCGATCAATATATATCGATTGATTTTCATCACTCTGATCGACCCGACCCTGATCTGATAGCTAGGAAACGATCTGATGTAAGTACTGTAGTATAGCTGAAATGCCGATCGATCGTTTCCTAGCTAGCTACTCCCTCCGTCCTAAAATGATTCATAGCTAAAAATGCTTACATTTTGGGACGGAGGTAGCAGCATACATGTAGCATGGCATATGCATAGTGTAGTATATACGACTAGTCATGTATACTGATCATCTTAAAATGGTGATACTATATCTAATCCGGCCATGCCGATGCCCATCCCTTCCCATGTTCTTTTCTAATTGCATTGTATTTTCTTTCGTTTCATAATTCTTGACATTTTAGATAAATTTAAAGTTAAACTTTTATAAATTTAATGGTTAACAGCTTTAAAATATTTAATTTTTTTTAAAAAATACTAAAATAATATATATATTTTTCTTATAAATTAGTATAATAATAAAAATATATTTTAGAGACCATGTAATTATCCAAGACATTACTAGCTAGCTAAGCATCTTGATCGGCATCTTAATATTTGCTCTATATATGTATTCATATCCCTTCATTCCAGAATATAAGTATTTTTAGAGATGGTCCGGTTATTAAGAAAGTTGGTAAGATTAAATGGTAGGATAAGTGAAGGTAGGTGGGAAAATTGAATGGTAGAGGATTTTGATTAGTTGAGAAGAAGTTGTTATATTTTGGAATAAATTTTAAAGGCTAGAAGTTGTTATATTTTAGGACAGAGGGAGTAGTATTAATTATATTTGCTTAATTAATTTACTTTTGATGCTAGTATATTATAATCAATCCCTTGAAGTTGATATCTGATATTTCTTTCAGTACTAGTATTAAGCTGAGCTGATCGATCTCTCCCGGCCAGATCTCTATCCGTAACCACTGAGGCGCAAGCATGAAAAGCTAGCTATAGAGATTGGTCAGTAACGTACAGTAGCACACACAGTGCAGCAGAGAGAATTGCATTAGCATTAGCATTAATTAGCGTTAGCACGTGATGCAATGGAGCTATAGGTAGCTGGAGGAGACTAGTCACCAGTTTGTTTTGTACGTCCTGCTGCCGCCGTCGTCTGATCTACAGTACTACATAATAAATACTATCTGTAGAGTATATACGTACAGTATGTACCTATGTCCTTTGCCTGTCTGAAAGGAGAAGCATCGAGCATACATACAGTATATATAGGTCAGCAGCTAGCCAGCCATTTTCTTTTTTTTTTTGAACGGAAAGCAGCACTAGAGTGCCTTTTCATTGAATAGAGCAAGAGAAAATACAAACCCCTAGACGTAAAAGGAAAACGGAGAACCACTATAGCTGTACACTATACAGAGTGCGGGATTATTAACTCACGCAGCCGCTTAGCTCCTGCTAAAGCCCAAAGGCTCGCCTCCTCTTTGATTTTCATTAGTAGGAAGTTCGTTGCCACCTCTTTGTGATCAAAAATCCGCCGATTCCTCTCTTTCCAAATTTCCTAGACGACTAACAGAATGAGCGATCGAAGTCCTTTTTTCGGGACACTAGGCGTGTTTGCAATGTTCTCCCACCACTGTTTGACTGACTGGGCTTCCTCCCATTCCGTTGGGTCCATCTGCTGATAGCCCACCCATGCAGAGATGAGGTGCCAGATCCTCTTGGTGTATCTACAAGTGGCAACGAGGTGCAATGCCGTCTCAGTCTCGCGGCGGCAAAGAGCGCAACAACCATTGTTCTGCCATCCCCTGGTCGCAAGCCGGTCTGAAGTCCAGACTCTGTTCTGAATGATGAGCCAAGCATGAAATTTGCATTTCCCCGGCGCCCAGGCTTTCCAAATCAAGGAATTGAAGTTTGTACTCGGCGTCCCGCAGCACTGCACATGGTAAGCCGAGGAGGCCGTGTAATGCCCGTTGTTTGTGAACTTCCAAATAATCTGATCCGGTTCTCCAACGTCTAAGTGCACATTTCGGACCGCTTCCCACAGTGCGACTAGCTGTTCGACGAGGTCGACTGTGATAGATGATTGTGAATCAAGCTTCAAATCTTGCACCCAGGCGTCCTCCTCCTTTCCTTGCCGAAGGGATTTTCCTCTGTTTTTTGAGATCGCATAGACAAGCGGCATGAGGTCTTTGGGTCTTCGCCCACCAATCCACGCGGACTCCCAAGATCGCACCGTGTTTCCGTCCCATATTGTTATGTTTGTTGAGGCGGCGAAGAGGTTCCTATCTACTTCATCACATGGCGTCACCCGCCCCACCCAAGGTTTAGCCAGCCATTTTCTTTTGAGAAGTAGAAATTGAAGCAACCATTGATAGATCGATGTTACTAGTAATCGATTCATATGTCTCTCTTTCTTTGTTTGTTTGTTTGTGTAGGTAGCTATAGTATATAGGTAAAAAGCTGAGGGACGAACGGACGGGCAGGGGAAACGACAAAAGAGAAACCAAACACAACAACACATTTACACATGCATGCATCATTCATATCGTCCTTGAGCTTCCTGCATATCGTCCGATCGATCCCCATATCCCATGGATTGATCGAGTGACAGCAACAACTGGAGTAATTAATTACTCCTACAGCAAGAAGAAATCAATATATTTTCAACATATGTATTACATCTATATATAATATAATATCGTACGACCAACAATAGTCGACATGCATGTATATATAGATCATAGATGGGTACGTGCAAACCAAATGATATATGGAATTAAAACAGGCCGGCCGGGATAGATTAGATAGATAGATCTAATTAAGCAAAGCATGCATGTAGGAGTAGCTAGGAACTGAAATAATCGCCAGATATATATCTAAGCCGGAACTAGTAATTAATTAATTAATTAATGGATGATCGATCGATGCTAATGGTATAGTAGTGTAAGATGGATGGATGGATGGATAATAGGAGTATATAGCTAGGACTAGGAGCTAGGAGTATATTGTTGGTTGCAGGTGACGATGATGATTAAGCCAGTCGGAGAAGGCCTGAAGCGTGCGCATGTCGGCCCTGTAGTGGCGCTGCGTGAAGTCCAGCAGCGCCCGCCACGTGAAGTCCGGGTACACCCTCGGGTGGTGGTCGTCGACCAGCTCCTCCGGCGGGCGCACCACCGTGTCCATCTCCGGGCAGAGGAAGAAGGCCAGCGAGCGGCGAGGCGCCGTGCTGTTGACGACCGCCCGGTGCAGGCAGCTGCGGTACCTGGCGTTGGAGAGCGCCATGAAGGTGTCGCCGACGTTGACGACGAGCGCCCCGGGGCGAGGGCGGATGGCGCGCCACCGCCCCTCCGCCCACACCTCCAGGCCGCCGACGTGGTCCTGGTGGAGGATGGTGAGCGAGGTGGGGTCGCAGTGCGGACCGGTGCCCAGCGTGTCGAGTGGCCTCTGGCACGCCGGGTAGTAGTTGAGGCGCATGATGGAGTCGTTGCGCTGGAAGAATCGCCGGAAGTAGTGGCGCCGGTCTCCGACGATGCCCAGGCTCTCCCCGAGCACCTCCATCAGCTCCAGCGACAGGCGGCTCATCTCGTGGCAGTAGCGCGAGTACACCTCGCCCAGCCGCCGCCCGTGCTCCGCCCCGAGCTTCCGCACCAGGTACTCACCCACGCCCTCCTCGCCCTCTTCATCTCCAGCCGATGAGTACCGGAACGACAGCGTCTCCTTCCACGGCAGCTTGGACGCGAAGCGCCCCGTGAAGCTGCTGGCGTAGCCGCAGCTCTCCCCCGCGCGCCGCTGCGCCCGCTGCTTCTCCCCCAGCGGCAGCGTGAAGAAGGCGTCCATGCACCGGTGCGCCTCCTCCAGCAGCGCCGCCTCGATGCCGTGGTTAACCACCAGGAAGAAGCCGTGCCTCTCGCACGCCTCCCCCACCTGCCGGACCACCGACGACCTCTCCGCCCCCGCCCCCACGTCGATCAGCGCCACCTCCAGCTCCTCCACCGCCACCGACCCGGGGCTCTCCTCCGCCGGCCATATGAACTGCGACGGGATCTCCGTCTGCCCGCTCAGCACCGCCGCGTCGAACACCACCTCCTGCTCCTGCTGCACCACCATGCTCATTAATTGTTGATAATCTAGCTATCAATCAATTAATTAACCGATGGAGATATGATAGATGCAACCTACAACTAACTAATAACTGTATTTAACTAACTAGCATAAGTATATCATCCATTAGTAGCTAGCTCCGAGCTAACTAAGTACTCATCCCCAGCAGCTGGATCGACCGACCGCGGCTAGCTAGCTGCTGCTCTCTCTCACTCCCCTTCCCGCCCTTATATACACGCTGCGCCAACAGATCGATCGATCGATCACGGCATCAACCTCGCTCTCTCCCCTAGCTACCTTCTTAACTCTCTCTCTCTCTCTATCCCGGCATCAATTAAAATTACTTATCTCTTCTTTTCCATGAGAGAGAAAGATATCAAGAGCGAGTGAATGTGAAAGGGATGGTGCCACAACCCGGTATTTGCTTAGCCCACTCTGCTCTTTGTACCCAGCCAACGGACCACACGGCCGCGGCCACATGCGGCTTACCCTAGCTATAGGGTCTTGGATCTGTAGTGTTTATTCTTTTTTTTAAAAAAAAAAATCGTTCTAGTCGAAAGTCCTTACTTGCCTGCCTGCAAAAATCAGTTTTGCAAGCAGCCTCCTCAACAGATCCATATGTGAAAATGGGTTTTCACGTGCACCTGTGATGCCCACACGTCAAAATACCACATCCAAAAATGAGTTTTGGCCATTTGCGAAAATTATTTATGTAGTTCTGAGTTTTTCACTTGGGCCAATTTTATCTTGGACATGCAAGGGTTATCTAAATGCAAGTTTTTTTTTCTTTGGCTGGCGTTGCAGAAGTGTTGTTGTACTGCGACATGACGCTATGTCGAGATTTAGACAACCACTTCACATGTTTGATTTTTAAAACGTGAAATTCACGTTTATGCAATTTACTCAAGTAGAAACTACAAAACACCCCAGCGCCTGTGCCACCACCAGATTGATGACTGGACAAACAACTCCGCAATAAGGTCATGTTACTCTAGAGAGACCTAGAAATTATTGCGCGTTCACAAAAACCTAGAAATTATTACTACATTAATAAGAAAAACAGAAAGATTTACATTCCTAGATTGTGGTTGGTCTAGATTATAAATTAATAGATATAGTTGTATATAAATTATAACAGGCTAATAGAAATAAGAGAGTTGTTTATATTTAATTCAAGAATTATATATTTTAAATCCAGCTTCACACAAATTTGCGAAAAAAATGGATTGAGGGTTGGCTTCGAATAGGATCTATATAATTGACCATAAACTGAGGTAGTCTAATATGAAAAGAGTTTTGATAGGGTGAAAATATATAAAAGCATGGCCTTTGAGAGGCCATACACAAGCTGAGAACTGTCATATTAATAAGAGAGAATCTCTTATATGCTACTAGAAATTGACCAGTTCCCTTACACGCCAATTAAAATTGGCTTCTCCCTTATATATCACTGGTTAAGTTTTTCTACCCTTTTATGCCATCCTCAGCACTGCAGCATTAGTTGACTGTTAGTCGCATGTTAGTTTTTTTCGTAAATGACCAATATGCCCTCTCAACTAAAAAAATGTGTAAACTTCAAAAAATCATAACTATTTTATTTTAAATCCGTTTTGAGTGAACAAAATTTTGTCCAAACCAATGAATAATGCTCTTTGTATTAAAAATATTGTTGGAAACTGTATGTTTCATGCTTATATTGAAAATTTATTTGTGATGGTGATGGCTAAAATTGCATATAATGCAAAAAAGAATCAATTTTCATATGTTGTATCCAGTAGCTATATTAGTATTAAAATACCTATCATTGGTTGTATACCAACTCTCAAGGGCAAATGCGTCTTTTTACTATGAAGTTAACGGTCAACTGACGGTGGAGTGACGGCAATGGCATAAAAGGGATAACAAACTTGAACTGGTGGCATAGAAGAGAGAAGCCAATTTGAAGTGGCATATAAGGGAACCGGTTAATTTAGAGTGGTATATAAGGGATTCTCTCTATTAATAATTTGGCCTTCTATCTCTAGAGAATATTATTCTTTTGTTGCATTAAGGAGCATATCCAGAATTAAATTAGAGGGGAACTCTTATTTTTCTTTCTACCCTTCCTACTCTTCCTCTTCTCCCGCTTCTTCTACCCTCCCTTCCTCCTTAATTAAATGGTGATCTAGCGGGATAGGAGGACTCGAGTTCCCTTAGCATCTACGCTGGATTTATTTTAAATATTTACTCATATATGGATTATTGCTCGATACTTTTTTGCTTTTTCTGTGTGTGTTTGAATCGTCTCAACCATCGCAACAGCTTTTATATATATATATATATATATATATATCTACGCTCCATGCATGCATATATATCAAGCAGTTGGTTTAAACTTAATGAGGACGAAGATAGCTGCTAGCTGGTGCCATATGATCGATCGATCCATTACATAGAGCTAGGCAGCAGCGCAGCTAGCTAGCCTCAACTAATTTGTCTTTCATGTATTTTGTCTGTTGGCTCCCAAACAAATATATGTCAGATATAATAAGTTAACTATACATATATAAAATGTACTGCATGCTACAGCGTAGATCGATCTTGGAATTAGAGATTGTTAATTAATCTGGCGTACCGATGGATGGTTTTGGCAGTACGCATGTCAACCACGCAATTAACATCCTAATCTAGAATCAGCGAACACGATCGAGCTAGAAGACGACACACAGCTAGCTAGTACGTCTTCATGCATCTCTCTCTCTCTCTCTCTCTCTCCTTGATCATGCATGCTGATGCTGCTGGCTCTGGCTCTCTCTTCCATAGAACTATTACAGCCAGAGCCAGGCCACATCATGTTGATGCATGTGGTCCAGCAATCAAGACAAAACAGCATGAGATAGATAGATAACTAGCTACCCACCAAATCGCTCTTCTTCTCTTACGCAAAGATTGCATTGTACCTTCCATCCTACCCGTACATATATAGTATATTATTGAGTGAGACTACGTAGTGGTATACCGTTTCAATAGAATAACGTATGATGTCAGCACGATACCAAATAGGTATCAGATCTGGTATATATACCTCTGGTACCAAACATGATACCCCACAAGTATCAAATCTAGTATTTAGGTATCATGATGATGTCAGTATGATACCCTAAGTATCGGATATGATACCTTCAGTATACAGATAGGGGTATATGTCGCTCCAGCTCATTTAGATAACGAGCTGGCTTGACTCGGCTCGTTATCTAAATGAGCAAAAAGTGGAGTTCGGCTCGGCTCGGAAGCAAAGCTCCAGCCAGCTCGTTCTGGCTCACGAGCTGGCCGGAGCACACAATGTGTAAGGTAGACATGGATAGGAAGGAGGGACTAGGCAGGTGTGCCGCTTATTGGAGAAGGGCGATGGCAAGGAGCCTGCTCAGTCGACATCTACCTTCGTGGCCACCAGCGTCGTCGGTGCCGGCCGCCAGCATGCCGGCCTGTCACAACCATCATATCCTCCTTCAGCAGCGAGCGATCCACCTACCGATCGAGGCGCTTCAACCTTGGCACGCGATGGAGAAGATGAGCTGCTTGTTGATATTGGCGATCGAGGTGGCCGCAACGAACACCTTGCTCGGCGGTTCTGGCACCCACAGGAGCACGAGCTTCGTTGTCGTGCCCGTGCACCGGAGACGACAAGAACTTGCCCCTCGCCGTCGGCACCACAACAGCAGCCACACATGCCTCCCCGAGCTCCTCTCAGAAGCCGCGGTGCACCGGAACCACACGGGATTAATTGGCTAGTGTCTCTGGTATCAAACATGATACTACTCCGTAGGTACCAAATTTAATACCATGCTGATGTCAGCTATTTAGTTGGAACGATATTACCATTTATGCATACAATTAATTGTAATGCATCTAAGCTGATCTATATATGCAAACAAGCTAGCTAGTAGCTATATATATTAGCCAAAATGGATATACAAAGTAAGGCTACATCTTTTTTTTATATATATACTACTATTATTATGTATGTTAATTTGTTAGCTATTCGTTGGCGCAATGTAGTAATTAATATATTACAATTTCCAGTCTGGCTAATAATATTTGTTCTCTTCAATTTTTGAGAGATTTGAAGATAGTAAAATTATATTACATTTTCAGCCTCGATCTCTTAGTTAACCACTGATAACTATCTCGCTTTATAAGAGTACGTCGATCGATCTATAATATGAGACGAATGTATCTGTGTGTGTGTGTATATATAAGTGCGTGCATTTTTATATATGCATGTATAGGATCATATCATTAATTATCACCCACTAGCCCGGACTGGACTGCTAATGTTGTTGTCACCACTGACACAGCACACTTGTGTGCAATTACTAGCTAGTCTAACAATTAATTAACAGGTGACGATGACATCTCTTGTCGGATTAATTAGCACGATGTACTTGCATATTAGCGAATGGTCGCAGCTACTGTATGCATGGATCAACTGCGATCGATCGAGCGTATAAATGTATGTACAATTAAAAAGTTTGTACACAGTCGCACGTATATATAGCTAATTAATTATGAGTATTTTGTTCTGGCATTAAAATGTATTTTTGTGAGATATATATGATATTTAATTACACTATATGATCCGCATATCTATTAATCATCTCTCAAATAGAAGGATATTTGGCAAAATCCAAATCAATTTGTTGGAATTTGCACAATCATAGGCATGTTCCACGTTAAACCTAAATTAAGCTAGCCAGCTAGGTAGGTATAGCAGCTAGCAAAAAGCTGCGACTAGCTAATCGATCAGATTACTTGGCTCCTGGCATAGCTGCGAGGGTTATTAATTTCTTAATTAATCAGGCAATTTTTTGTTTGTTTCGGCAACAGCAGCTACCACATGCATGGATGCATAACAGTACGCACAGTGCGTTCAACAAGTCGATCGATCGATCGTGCTTGCATATTGCGGCTATAACTAGCCATCCTCTGTAGATATATATAGATCGATGAACACTTGAACAGAACTGTGAAACTAACAACAAACATGTACGTACTACCTCCGTCCCAGTTACATAAACAAAATCACTTATGGCTCTTTGAATTACAAGAATATAAAAAAATACATAATTCTAACATAAATACAAGTGTAAAACAAAGCATTACAAAACACATAAATTAATATCGACCGTTTGAATTAGACTGCGGGAAAAACACAGCAATCGGGTAAGAGAGATAGGCTCAAAGAAAATTGTCTAAAATATTGAAGCTCATGCTAAGTTTCCTCAAAAATTTATATGTAATAAACCATTACATAGAAATTTCATAAGATTTGAAAAGCTTCTATATAGTCGTATCCTTTATATA